GAGGGAGCATGGATACAGAACCAAGGTCTGAGTCCTAGGACATCTGAATTAAGAGAGGCAAGGAGAAGCCTGCTTAGAAGATGGAGAATGAGTGTTCAGTGAAGTGGGAGGAGGAGGAGGAGAGCGTGGAGTCCTAGAAATCAAGTGAAGAAAGCCAGGAGGGGACAATCATTCATTCACTTACCCATGTCTCCATCCAACTCTTCCTTCCTTCATTCATTCATTCATTCAACAAGCATGCTTTAAGTGCTCACTGCAGGCCAGGCACCAAGCCAGAGGAACATTTCCCAAGTCCTCAAGGGTAGCTTAGGGTTTGTGTTTCGGGGTGGAGACGGATGTGGTAAAACAGCAAGGTCTGGTCTGTGGCAGAGCTGTGGCTTTCAAACTTGAGCTGCCTCTTCCTGTCTGGGGGTCTTGTTAAAACACACATTCGCCCTCCACTGCCACAAGATTAGTGGCAGGATCCAAGGATCTGCATTTCTAACAGGCTCCCAGAGGATGCTGCTTTTGTCCAGGGGCCGCACTTTGAAAACCAGTATGATAAGAAGAAGGAGCCCCTTCCTGGGGGATCTTGGAGGGGAAGGCACAGAACCTGGCAGGCAGCTCTCAGGGTTCCTGCAGACCTTGACCTGAGAACCAAAGGGCTAAGTAGGAGCTCAGGATTTCTGGTGTGGACAGAGGAGGGTGAGGGTGAAAGGGGGGTCAGAGTGAAGGACATCTTTCACACTCCCTCCCCAGCTCCATCTGTTTCTCAGCTGCCTGCTTCGCACCCCCAGCATCTAGAGTCCTCAGAGAATGTATCTCTTCATAGAGCTGAGAAGGGAGACCTCGGGCCTCCATACCCAGGAAAACCTTTAACACTGCTCTCCCGTTGGCTACCTCCACCCCAGAGGTAATGTAGCCTCGATTTGCATACCTCCCGAGATGGGTGGCTCACTACCTCTCCAGACACTCAGCTCAGTTCTGACTGTAAGAACGGCTTTTTGAACAGAATTCTAAGAAATCTGTAGGAATGTTGAGGCTGGGCCCACTCTGCTGGCAGAAGGCGGGAGGAGACGGGGTAGAGGGTCCTCCTAGCGCCCTGGGAGGGGCTCGGCCCTCAGTCGCCCCCTCTGTCCCCCTCGCAGTGCTGGTGCTGCTGATCCTCACCCTCAGGCGCCACCACAAGAGCCACCTGAGCTCGGACGAGGATGAGGACATGCGGGACAACGTCATCAAATACAACGACGAAGGCGGCGGCGAGCAGGACACGGAAGCCTACGACATGTCGGCGCTGCGGAGCCTCTACGACTTCGGCGAGCTCAAGGGCGGCGACGGGGGCGGCGGCGCGGGCGGGGGCGCGGGCGGCGGCGCGGACGGGGGCGCGGGCGGGGGCGCGGGCAGCCCCCCGCAGGCCCACCTGCCCTCCGAGCGCCACTCGCTGCCGCAGGGGCCGCCGAGCCCCGAGCCGGACTTCTCGGTGTTCAGGGACTTCATCAGCCGCAAGGTGGCGCTGGCGGACGGGGACCCGTCGGTGCCGCCCTACGACGCCTTCCAGACCTACGCCTTCGAGGGCGCGGACTCGCCGGCCGCCTCGCTCAGCTCGCTGCACAGCGGCTCGTCGGGCTCCGAGCAGGACTTCGCCTATCTCAGCAGCTGGGGTCCGCGCTTCCGGCCCCTGGCCGCGCTCTACGCCGGCCACCGCGGGGACGACGAGGCCCAGGCCTCCTAGCCCGGCGCCCTGCCGTCGGGGCGCGGCTGCTCCCCCGCCCAGCACCCCCCGGGACCCCAGGACCACGCGTTTCCCCCGGGACCCCCTGCCCCGCCCTCCCCTCCCCCTCCCTCGGCGGCCGGACGGAGGGGGAACTTGCGAGGGGCGGACTCCCCCACTCCTCCTCCGCTAGGGGCGCAGCTTTTGGAGCTTCGGGATTCTGACCAACGTCATTAAAACTGAGGCGAGACCGGGCGCCGCGTGGCTCTGGGGTTAGAATGGGAGGTGGGGGCGGCGCTGCCGAGTCGGGAAGGGGCGGGTTACTCCATCCTGGCCTGGGGGAGACTGCTGGAGCGAGCACGCCGCTGAGATGCCCCCGCCTCAGGTTTCCCCCATCAGAGTTAAGAGGAAGGAAGGCTGTTCATTTACTAAGCACCTACTGTGTGCTGGGACGCTGTACAGAGACCAGCTCAGTCGTCAGAGAGACCATGAGGTGGGGTCCTGCACGGAATAGAAGGGGAAAGGACCCCAGAGAAGTGGCTGTGACCCGTCCCAGGGCCCCTGGCCAGTGAATGGCGGAGCCTCTGGCACTGACCAGCTGCCTGGCCTCGGGCAAGTCACTTCACTTCTCTGGGCCTCAGTTTCCTCATCTGTCAAATGGGGTTAATAACAGAACCTACCTCGAAGAGCTGTGAGGCTAAAAAGGGTTCGTATGTGTCAAGTGGTTAGGACAGTGCCTGGCACATAGTAGGTGTTCAATAAATGCTAGCCTTTGTTACTGTTCTTATCTTTGTGGTTCTTAGAAGCCCAGTATGTCTGCCTCCAAGGTCTGACCTCTCTCCCCTGCTCCATATGCCTTCCCCTTTTCCCGACATCTCCAAGGGGAGAGGAAAAGGTTGCCATCGTCAGCTCCTGATCCTGCCCTGCATGCCCAGCAACTGTGGAGACTTTGGGAGTCTCAATCACACTGAAATACCAGCAGTACCAAGCAAGAACAAGCTGGGTGACTCCAGGACTTGCATGGATGCAAGGATTGGCAGGAGGCAGAGGGGTCAGAAACCACTGGGCAAGGATGGGGGGGTGGGGGCCTTATCTGTTTGACTTTGGAACCCATCAGTCTCCCCACTCATGGATCCCAAATTAAGAACCCCTGGACTAAGTCACCTGAGAGTTTCCAGCTCTAAAACTATATGATTATAAAATACAGGTTATTCGTCCTCCCACCTCCCCCCAAGCCCAAGTGATTCATTCATTCCACATTGATTCAACGTGAATTCCAGCTCCTGCTAGCTGGGCATCCTTCAGCAGCGTCCTCCACTGCTGAAGCCTCAGTTTCCTTATCTGTAAAATGGGGGCAATAATAGTCTCTTCCTTAAAGGATTGATAAAAGTCTTCAAGGAGATAGTGGGTGTTAAGCTCTGAACACAGTGCCTTCCTGACATGTGGAAAGTGCCCAATAAAGGCTGATTAGCCTTATTTTCCTTACCCTCCCAGGGAGCGCTCATTCGTTCCCTCCACATTTGCCAAGATCCACTGTGATAGATCTAGAGACCGCCAGTAAGTTCTAGTGCCTTACCTGCATTATTTTTTCTCTTTTAGGTACTGTCAGCCCCAGTTCACAGATGAGGAAACTGAGGCTGAGTGAGTAGTAAACTGCCCAGAGTTACACAGATGATAGGTAATTCCTCCCTTCCAATAGCTCAAGACCTAAGTGGGAGGAAGGAAGTGGATCAGGGAGCGGAAGCAGCCAAAAATAATGTGTTTGCTAAGAGTTGTAGCAGAGTTACCAGAAAAAGATGCTGGAAGCACTGAAGAAAGACTGAGTAATCCTGGAGGGCTTCCCAGAGGAAGTAACTTCAACCAGGTCTTGAAGAATGAGCATAGGATGTGAGGTGGCCAAGCGAGCAAGAGTATTCCAAGCAGATCTGCAAAAGCTGGGGGTGGGGAGGAGGCAAAAAGCATGTGGCAGCTTCAGGAAGGATATGTGGCCTGGGAGCTGCATAACAGGGTGGAGGAGTGTGGGAGGTGAGGCAGGGAAGGCTGGTTAGAGGTCGTTTGAAAAGAACTGGAAGGCCAGGTTAAGGAACATGATAGCTTGCTCAACTTGAACCTCCCTTCTAAAGTCCACTGATAGTGGCCAGTGGCAGGGATGTGGTATTAGTATGGTAAACCCAACTGGAGGGATATTTGGGAACCCCCAGATCATCCCATGTGGGACCCTTACCCATGGTTCCTATAGCTCATGCTACAAATGGGCATGGTACCTTGGGGACCACTGGGGAGTTGCCCTCTCACCCCTGCGTGCCCAGCTCTTCATATAGAACACAACAGCACTTCTGAGGTTGGTTGCCAGCTCCATTGTAGAAGGGGGAAACTGAAACCCAGAGGAATAAAGCGAGTGCTTCCAGGTCTCCCAGCTAGTATGGGGCAGAGCAGGGACGGCACCGGCTCGGAGTCTGTCCCTTCCACATGAACGGGTTGCCTTAGCAGATACTGACCCTGACAAGAAGGAGGTTACAGGCAGGTCACATGTCCACAGGGACACATGGACATGAAGTCACAGGTCCCCTGAACATCTGTCTAAACCTCACACATGGAGAATGACTTACCTAAGGTCACCCGGAGTCAAAGATCTTGCCAGAAATAAAGAACATTATTTATCCAGATTCGCCTTCCGAGCCTTTGGCTCTGCCATTTACCCACTGTGTGACTTTTTCCTTCCTTCCTTCCTCCCTCCCTTCCTTCCTTTCTTTCCTTCCTTTCTTTCTTCCTTCCCTTCCTTCCTTCCCTTCCTTCCCTCCCTCCCTCCTTCCTTTCTTTCTTTTCTTCTTTCTTTCTTTCTCTTTCTACCAATCTTTCTTTCTTTCCTTTCCTTCCTTCCTTCTTTCCTTTCTTTCTTTCTTTCTCTTTCTTTTTCTTTTTCTTTCTTTCCTTCCTTTCTTTCTTTTCCTTTCTTTCCTTTCCTTTCCTTTTCTTTTCTTTTCTTCTTTTTTTCTTTTCTTTTCTTTCTTCAGGGCCTTACTCTGTTGCCCAGCTGCACACAGTGGCACAATCATGGCTCACTGCAGCCTCAATGTACTAGGCCCAACTGATCCTCCCACCCCAGTCCCCCAAATAGTTGGGACCACGAACATGCACCACCACACCTAGCTAATTTTTTGTAGAGATGGAGTCTTGCTATGTTGCCAGGCTGGTCTCAAACTCCTGGGCTCAAGTGATCTTCCCGCTTTGGCCTCCCAAAGTGCTGGGATTACAAGCATGAGCCCCCAGGCCCAGCCACTGTGTGACTTCAGACAGTTATTTACCCTTGGTTTGCCTCCGTTTTCTTATCCATAAGGTGCATATGCTCAGACCACCTACTTCATAGGGTTGCAATAAGGATAAAACCCAATAGCAACAGCTGACACTGAGCACTTCACATAAATTAACACAGTTAATCCCATGACGACACAATGAGTTAGCCCCCGTTTTACAAGCGAGAAAACTGAGGCGCAAGGAGGTTAAGCAACTTGTGCAAGATCAAACGACTAGTAGTGGAGATACTGAGACCAACCCGGGTGCTGTGGCCCCCAGGACCTACCCCGTCAGCAGCACACACACTGTCCGACACACAAGAGGCCCCAAACATATGTCTTGGGTGTATCCAAAAGTCCCTGTCTGTGCTCTGGGAGAGCTCGTTCCTCTAGTTGCCACCACATTCCACAGCCTGCAGGAGTCCTCAAGCCTCCCCCTGGTTTCTGCTAGTTCCAGAGTGGGGTGTGGAGGAAAAGGTAACATTCTCTCGATCCTCTTTGCTTCTAGCTCCCGCAACCACATGTGCTGCCTCCACTGGGTGCTGAGCCAGCCCAGAGTGAAATCCAGTGAGTCCTGCCCTTTCGCTGGGCTGCACAAGGTGTCTACTCCTGCCAAGCATGTGTGAGCTTTTCTGATGACTTGGGGTCACGGAGGAGGGTCTCATGGGACACACGGGCTTTGGTCATCTGTCTCATTGATTCCCACAGGTTCCCCAGGAGTTCCAAATCCTCTCCCTGTGTTAGGCAGAAAATATAGCCATGCCAGCTCCAGGCTCCAAATGAGCAAACCCAGCTCTATTGAGTTTAGAAAATAAAGAGCCTTCCATTTACTGTGCCTGCCCTCCTTACAAGGCATCTAGGAAGATGAAAAGAAAAACATTCCCCTTTTATTGTCATCCTCACCATCCCCGTCATTATCAAGGGATAAAAGAGTATTCAGGGTCTTGAGCAAGAATTGATGTGTAATTGGCCAAGGATTTCAGAAGCAGGGATATTAATGACAATGACGATGGTAGTGATGACGGTGACAGCACACTTACCTAGCACTGCGGCATGCCAGGCCCTGTTCTCAGCACCGTACGTAATTAATACTAAGGCAGGTAAATCTCACGGAGAATGGACGCTGTGTTTACTGTGTTTAGTGCTTTTACGTAATTTGCCTTGTTTAATTTTACGCAGGTGCTTTCATTAGACCTATTTTATGAGGATGGGATGAGAAACCCAGGGCTCACAGATGAACTGCATTTTGCCCAAGGGCACAAAGCCTTTAAAGGCTTGAAATCGCTTTACACCCCCACCTACCATGGCTCTGCATAGGGCCTAGATGACTCGGGTTCTGAGTGGAGTTTCCCAGAGGACAGAGAAGCAGGTTGGTGAGAAAGGGAGGTGCTCCAGGGGGATGGCAGAGCTGGGAGCAAGATGGACAGAGGGGCCTAGCTGGCTGGCCACTGTCCAAACCTGGGTCTCTGTCTCTGATGTGTACCAGTGTGTGTGTGTCCACACGTGGCTGTGGACAAGGACCAGTGAGGTGGGAAACCAGCATTGAGCAGCACAGGTCAAGAACTAACCTCCCACCTCCTGATTCAAGCAGCTCAGAGAGCCGGCTGCTGTCATAGAGGGCGTCTAAGCGCCTGCATCCGTCAGCCAGCCGTCATCACAGCCCACCCTCAGGTCACGAATCAGCAGCTCCACTCACCTCCTGCCAGCAAGCGCTCCCAGGCCAGCTCTGTCACTGGTCGCTGAGCCTTTGGAAAATGCAACCCTGTCAGCCCTCACTCTGAGGCAAGATGGCTCATGTTTCAGTGTGTGCGGGAGCATGCCAGCACATGATGCACACGTTGTACCCACAGATATGTTTGCACCTGTGGGCATAACACAGACATGTTCACAGCTATACACACAGAGCGTATCCCTGCAGGTCTGCAGATGTGGACACATGCCAGCATGCCATGCATGCACGGGAGGCAAGCTCTCGTGTGCACCCGTGTTTGTCCTCAGAGCATACGCATGCCTGCCGTAGACAACTTCTCTTACATGCATGTTCATGTTTGTCCACTGGTACTCTTCAATAAGCAACATATTTTCCTATTCAGGCATATACTCATACACATTCACCAACATAGGTGTGTCCCCAGAAACTCCCACGCAAATACACAGCACATATTTGTGTATACCCTCAGGGGTTCTTCTGCGCATGAGTATATGGCACCATGCACTCATTCTTAATCATATGCACATTTGTATGCACGCACAGGAAAGCAAACGAAACCTCAGGAGCAGTCCCTTACAAACTCCAAATTAACGTGCATGATCCCATAGATGTGTTTGTACATGTGAGCACAGGTCTGTGTGTATGAACGTAATCTACATGATCACTACAAGCACCTGAACAAACAGCCATCCTCCAACAAATGCTCAGATCTGCACCAAGCACTCACACACATGCAGTGGTATACGTGCATCTGCCTGTCTCCATGTAGGTACCTCAACTTCCAGTCAACGTGTCCTCAGGCGCTTAATCACCTCTGTCCATGTGCACTTTTAGGCAGGCCCAGCACAGTTCACCCACAGCCATGCCCCATGTGCCACTCAACCCCGCAGACAAGCACGCACACAGACACATGCCTCCAAAGCCCATCTCCTACACGTGTGCGGAGTCAAATCCCTAGCACGTGGCTGCACACACACCCTCTCTGGGGCACAGCATGCCCATCCCCAGGTCATCAGGTGTGCTGGGGATGGAAGGAATGGTGCCCACACGCAGAAATCGCCACTCACGCAGAATTGTATCTGCCGCAAACTTCTCATCTGCTGTGCAAATGATGATTAAATGTTATTGTGCAAGAGAAAACAGCAAGGAGGGATTCATTAGCTTTATTGTCAGGAAGGACTCCATGGACTCCAGCTCGCAACTCCATGGCTGGCTTAACCCCCTGTGTGCTGGGGGGGTGCCATACCTAGACATGGCATTATGGAAAATGGAGGCCCCAGAGACAGATATCTCAGTGCTGGGTCCACATGAGCCAACCTGGGTGCAGAGAGCACTGCACAGGGAGTCATAATGTGGGTCTCATTTGCATGTGTCCCTGGGCCCATCATTTCATTCAGCAAATAATCACTCATCCCTACCATGTCCCCAGGAATCTAGAGCTACAGAAGCCATGTTCCCTCTGGGACCATAGGCCTTCTCAGATGGAAAAGGACAGTCTCCCAAGAAAAGAGCATAAGCAAAGGCTTTGGGGGGTTGGAGAGAGCAGAAGCAGCACAGCGCTTTTTCAAAGAACAAGGACCTAGACAGATCAGTGCAGGACAGATTGCAAAGGGTCCAGCAAAGCCTTCCGGAGAGCTTGGGTCTTTTTCTGACGACAATGAGGAGCTATGAAAACTAGATGGATAGGCTGGACAGATAAATTGCAGGACACCCAGTTAAATGTGAATTTCAGATAAATAAAAAGTCATTTTTCTAGTATTCGTATTCTAACTATTGCACAGGACATACTTATGCTAAATCACTCGTATATTACGTATCTGGAATTCACATTGAAGTGGGAATTTTGTATTTTATTTGCTGAATCTGGCAACCCTACATATAGATTTGCATTTTAGAAAGATTATCCTGGCTACTTGCCCAAGTTGGATTAGAGGATGAAAGAAATGAGAGGGAGACCAGTGAGGAAGGGAGGAAGTCACAGTCTCACTTTCTTCCTTAATCAGAGAAGCCCCAAATTTTAGCTGGGCACATGGCCTTCTATTACAAGGACCACATTTCCCAGCTTCCTTCACAGCTGTGTATGAACTATGCATGAACTGAATCCCAGCCAATACAACTTAAGCAGAATTGTCAGGTGGCAGCTTCCGGGACACCTCTTTAAAAAACTGCTGACCCATGTCTTTTGCCTCTTTTTACTGTCCCTTTCTTCTTTCTGCTGGCTGAACACAGCTGAGATGGCAGGAGCTCAAGCAGCCACCTTGAGCCATGATGGCAAAGGTCATACCCTATGGATAGACTTGGTTCTCATCAGCCTCATGGAGCTACCATACCACCCTGAACCTCCTATCTCCAGACTTGGCCACAGAAGAGACAAATAAACTTCCAATATGTCAAAGTCACTGTCACTTTGGTCTTTTGTCTCAAGCAGCCAAACCTAACTCTAGCTGATATGAAAGGCTGACACAGGACTCTCAGAAAGAGACGCTGAAGCTTAAACTGGGTCAGCAACAGTGGATTTGAGAAATATTTTAGAAGAAAGACCCAGCAGGAGTTGGCAATTGACCGGGTGTGGGGATGGCACGTAAAGAAGGTCAGAGGCTTCAGGCTTGAGTGACAAGGGCGGCAAAGCTAGTAATGAGCCAGGGAACCCAGGAGAAGCTTTGGATCTGGGGTCAGGAAAGTTCAGTTTGGTTTTAGACATGCTGAGTTTAAGGGGCCTGCAGGCCACACACACAAGATATGGAAATGCAGCACTGGAGCTCAGGAGGAGGAGGGGGACTAAAGAGATCTTGCTGCTTGCCAGTGTCTTCAGGAGAGCTGAAGCTGCAAGGGTAGGAGGCGCAGGGAGAGCGTAGAACAGAGAGGATCCAAGAGGGGCACCAGAGCCAGGCTGGGGGAGAAGAGCCACTTGGACCTCAGTTTCTCCAGCCGTGAGATACCGGTGGCTGAGAGGGCTAACCTAACAGATTCCAAAAGCGCCTTCCTGATCTGGCATTTGTGAATTTTAAGGTGTGATCTTCGACCATTTATTTGTCCTTCCTGTGATTCGGTTTCCCCTTTGGAAAATGAGGCTAAAATAGCAGCTACCCCATAGGGTTGTTCAGAGGAGGAAGTGGCCCCCCGCTAAAGCACTTAGCTCAGCCCTGGCGTACAGTAAGCACAAAATAAACAGCAGCCGTTAGCACATGGAAGCAGTGGCGTGGTGTAGGGGGAAGGAGGGGTGAGGACAAATCCTCTTTCCCATCCCAAGCTCAGGAAGAGGCTGGAAACCTGGGAATCCTCATTGAGACCTTTAGTAGGTACCTCCTGTTTGCAAGGACACAGAGCTAGGCAGAGAGAAGAAAAAAATGGGGAGAAAATGTACTTACTTTTGAGAAGGTGATAAAGCCCAGCCTTGCCCGGAGAGCCTGAAGGAAGGTGAGATCCGGGGACAGGGAAGGGGCTGGGAGAGGAACAGGGGTGGGATTATATAGAAGGTCTCCCAAAGGAGGCTGCTGAACCAAGGCCTCCAGGGTGGAGTGCTTCAGAGCTGACAGAGCAAAGAGGAGGCCGCCACTGATCACAACACACACATCTGTGAAATGGGTCCATAGGGAGCAAAAGGGCACTGGGAGGGGAAGCCCGTGGGCACTTCACATCCCCTGGATTAGTGTGCTAGGGTTGCTGTAATAAAGCACCACCAGAGGAGTGCCTTCAACAACAGCACTGAATCCTCTCCCAGGCCTGGAGGCTTGGAAGTCCGACATCCAGGGGTCAGCAGGGCAGTGGGAAAGCGCCCGTTCCAGGCCTCCCTCCTGGGCTTACAGATGGCCATCTTCTCTCTGTGTCTCTCCACGTCATCTTCCCGTGACATGTCTGTGTCTGGATCCAAACTGCCCCTTTTTGTAAGGACACGGTCATATTGGATTAGTGCCCACTGACCCCAGGATGGCCTCATCTTAGCTAAGTACATCTGCCACCATCCTATTTCCAAACAAGGTCACATTCTCATGTACAACTAATTTGGAAATTCAGCATATGAATTTTAGGGAGACACAATTCAACCCACAGCATCCGCCATCCCAGGCTCGGCACCAGCTCACAAACCCCTCACCAGGCTCCCTAATGAAGTCTTCCCACTTTTTGTGGAAGTTTGTACTCAGGTGCGGTCAGGGGGAGGAGGCCTTGGAATTCTGATCACTAGTTGGGATGGGGATTGCGTGGGAACAGTTTTCTCCCTCCTAGCCACTGATTCACTGAGACCCTCGCATTTAACCACACACACACACACACACACACACACACACACACACCCCTCAGAGAAAACCAGAGGCCCACCCATATATGTGAAGTCTCACACAAAGACACACACACTCAAAGCCACCCATGTAGAACCGTCACACACAAAGACACATGCAGAATCATATGCACAGACACATGCTCCCAGACATGGAGATATGCGTGGACACAGACCAGAACTCATACACATTCCCAGACACACAGGCGCATGCTAGCACACCCACGCAGGCACAATGACAGTCACGTAGAAGGATGCACAGGGACGCATCTGTGTTCTCACAATCACACACACAACACAGACATGCTTGTGTGCATTCTTATAGACAAATGCACTCACACACAAAGATGCAAAACACACGGTCACAGGCATTCAGGAGCACACAGCCTCACACAGACACGTGAGGCCGCTTGTGTACACAGGGCTTTTTAATCCCATTGTGGTTGGCAGATCCTGGCATCCACGCACCGTCCCCCTGGCCTCACAGCTCACTGTTCACTCTCTGGTCATTGGAGGCAATTTAATCCCCATCCCACCTAGCCAATCACAGGCCCCATAGAGCAGGTGACCATCAAAATGCCCCCACCACGAGGGCGGCGAAGCAGAAAGCCTCCTCCCCACTCTAGCTTCCCCTTCCACCTTTGCAGTTGAGATGGAATTTATATAAACCTAGACAGGCAGGCGCACACACACACACACACACACACACACACACTCCCCATCAAATACTATTCACAGAACCATGCACAATTGTCCACACACATAAGTACACATATGGGCACAGGAAGATCGTGTACACAACAAATAGAAAAGGCTCCATGAGCTAGATGGTGTCTGTATGTACACAGATACACAGTCTCATGGTCAGTTAGTGCCAATGGGTGTGCACCACGCAAGCGGTCCCACTAAGATCTGTAAACTCATGGAGAACATGATGGAGATGGAGATGAAGAACACACATACAACAGCCACACACAGATCTCCAGCTGTGCTTAGTGAACTCCCTCCCAGGGTGTCTGAGCATTTGTGCACGCCGAGGAGGAGGTGTACAGACACAGAGACATGGTTGCGTGTGCACGCATGCATACACACACCACGCACACAGGACCACTCAAAGCCTGCTGCGTGTCCCCACAGAGGCCCGTGGTCCTTGCCTGCCGAACCCAGAGATGGCCCACTTCCCCAGGCTGATTTTCCAGGGTAAGGGGGGCCACAGCCCCACCTGTCAACCTGCTGTTTGTCACTCCATCATGGCCTGTGCGCTGACATTCAGAGCCCAGCACTGAGATGATCACATTTAGCTGTAATGTACCACAGATTGCACTGACATTTGGAAAATATTCCACCTCGGGACCCATTTGACTTCAAACTTTTTTCCTGGAAGAGGAGAGAGGCAGCAGCGAGGACCTGAAATATTCTCAGCCTCCCAGGAGCTGAGAATCCAGGCCCCACCTGCCAGAGTCCTAGGTATTCTGGCTGCTCCTTCTGCAGCTACCTGGGGACAGGAGGATGAGGAAGAGGAGTAGAGGCTCCCGAGGATGAAGCTCCATGTCATACATCAAGTCTTTACAGAGGATCCATTGGGAGTCCCCCATGTTTGGGGCCTGGTGGGACCTACCTGCTGTCAGTGGCACACCCACTAAGCGCCAGGCCTTGCTTTAAGCATGTCACATACATGGCCTCATTTGGCAATGGTAATGTGACCTAGGAACTGTTACTATCACATTTGAATGATGAAGTCTCAGAGAGGTAAAGTGACTTGCCCAAGGTCACAAAGCTAGGAGGGACTGGAGCTGAGATTTGTCCCCAAGTCTGTCTGGCTCCAGAACCTGCCCTTTTTCCACTCCACAAAATGTGTCACAGA